ATACACGTGGATGGGAGTTTTTTACTATGAATGTGTTCCTCTGATTGTACTCAATAATATATATATCTCACAATATTTTGTCGGGCATGAATTAACCCCACAGGCCCCCTTTTTCGGAATTTCGAAAAAAATTCATAACTTTTTCAAAATACACGTGGATGGGAGTTTTTTTCTATGAATGTGTTCCTCTAATGGTACTCAACAATATGTATATGTCACAATATTTTGTCGGGCAAGAATTAACCCCATAGGCCCCCTTTTTCGGAATTTCGAAAAAATTCATAACTTTTTCAAAACACACGTGGATGGGAGTTTTTTTCTATGAATGTGTTCCTCTGATGGTACTCAATGATATGTATATCTCACAATATTTGTGGTTTGTGAACTGTAAGGTACATTATCAACTTGTGGTTTCGAATTATTTTCAAAATTTGGAAATACTGGTTCACTGGATAATGCCAATGCTGAATGGCCACCTTGAGATTTCAGACGAGTTGAGATTCTAGCGTTTTCCGTGATTAATGAATTAGCTTCTTGAACCATTATGTTCTGAATTATATTAATTTTGAATTGAAGGTGATCGATAAAACCACCGGCGTTCCTCCTAATAGTCTGAACAATTCTATAGCAACAATTTTCATCATTTCTATCATAGAGAAACATAGCAGCTTTCTTAATTTCATCGGAACCTGCTGTGAGATGTTTAATTTGATTGAAAATATTTCCAGAATAATTATTTCTGAAATATTCAGCCAAATGCTTCACATTGATTCGAGAAGGGCGTCCTCGTCGCTTCATATTAAACACTTATGTAAGGTATTCACAGAAATGAAAATTAGACTGGGATTGTTTTCTCACTTCTTCAAATCATCCAAGCACTCTTACATTTATGTAAATGATATTTGCTCGTACGAATATTCTCTTATTATAATTAGGATATAATTTTCAAATTATTTCACGAAATCCTTCAAACAATTTTTGAACAGTGAAAAATCATCTACGAATATAATAAGAGTAGGAAAAATCTCACCTGATGTATATCACGACACGTAAAACTCGACGTAAAACACTTGAAATTGTAAAACACACTGAACATTAGGCCATTCAAAAATAAAATGAAATAATTCATATATTCCTATGTATATTTATATGAGCAAATAGGTATTGTAGTAGATTCACAAAGGATTAAACCTTTGTTTGTGCCAAAATGGATTAAGTTAGGTCAATCTACAAGGGACCAAGATTTAAATCTTACCGCGGTCACACCCGATACTGTTGACATCCTGAAGTTAATCCCTATCCGGTAATTTTCGAAGAAATCTAAAGGTACTTAAGGGCTATCTGATTATTTTGGGTTAACTTACATGAACATTGTTTCAAATTATCTATAATGTGTATTTGAATCCTAGACAGGTATAGGAATAATTCACTATAGGTATACTATCAAGTACGTATTTCACTATGATAAAATTATGTAGAAAAACTCCGGTCATATATATTTTTCTATATATTAAATATATACATATGCTTTATCTATATCATATAGAATATACACATTATCAAGTACCATCGGAGGAACCCATTCATAGAAAAAAACTCCCATCCACGTGTATTTTGAAAAAGTTATGAATTTTTTTCGAATTTCCGAAAAAGGGGGCCTATGGGGTTAATTCTTGCCCGACAAAATATTGTGACATATACATATTATTGAGTACCATCAGAGGAACACATTCATAGAAAAAAACTCCCATCCACGTGTATTTTGAAAAAATTATAAATTTTTTTCGAATTCCCGAAAAAGGGGGCCTATGGGGTTAATTCTTGCCCGACAAAATATTGTGAGATATACATATTATTGAGTACCATCGGAGGAACCCATTCATAGAAAAAAACTCCCATCCACGTGTATTTTGAAAAAGTTATGAATTTTTTCGAAATTCCGAAAAAGGGGGCCTATGGAGTTAATTCTTGCCCGACAAAATATTGTGAGATATACATATTATTGAGTACCATCAGAGGAACACATTCATAGAAAAAAACTCCCATCCACGTGTATTTTGAAAAAGTTATGAATTTTTTCGAAATTCCGAAAAAGGGGGCCTATGGGGTTAATTCTTGCCCGACAAAATATTGTGACATATACATATTATTGAGTACCATCAGAGGAACACATTCATAGAAAAAAACTCCCATCCACGTGTATTTTGAAAAAATTATGAATTTTTTTCGAATTCCCGAAAAAGGGGACCTATGGGGTTAATTCTTGCCCGACAAAATATTGTGAGATATACATATTATTGAGTACCATCGGAGGAACCCATTCATAGAAAAAAACTCCCATCCACGTGTATTTTGAAAAAGTTATGAATTTTTTCGAAATTCCGAAAAAGGGGGCCTATGGAGTTAATTCTTGCCCGACAAAATATTGTGAGATATACATATTATTGAGTACCATCAGAGGAACACATTCATAGAAAAAACTCCCTTCCACGTGTATTTTGAAAAAGTTATGAATTTTTTTCGAAATTCCGAAAAAATGGGCCTGTGGGGTTAATTCTTGCCCGACAAAATATTGTGAGATATACATATTATTGAGTACCATCAGAGGAACACATTCATAGAAAAAAACTCCCATCCACGTGTATTTTGAAAAAGTTATGAATTTTTTCGAAATTCCGAAAAAAGGGCCTATGGGGTTAATTCTTGCCCGACAAAATATTGTGACATATACATATTATTGAGTACCATCAGAGGACACATTCATAGAAAAAAACTCCCATCCCGTGTATTTTGAAAAAGTTATGAATTTTTTTCGAATTTCCGAAAAAGGGGGCCTATGAGGTTAATTCTTGCCCGACAAAATATTGTGAGATATACATATTATTGAGTACCATCAGAGGCATGTATTCATAGAAAAGAACTCCCATCCACGTGTGTTTTGAAAAAGTTATGAATTTTTTCGAAATTCCGATAAAAAGGGCCTATGGGGTTAATTCTTGCCCGACAAAATATTGTGACATATACATATTATTGAGTACCATCAGAGGAACACATTCATAGAAAAAAACTCCCATCCACGTGTATTTTGAAAAAGTTATGAATTTTTTCGTATTTCCGAAAAAGGGGGCCTATGGGGTTAATTCTTGCCCGACAAAATATTGTGAGATATACATATCATTGAGTACCATCAGAGGCATGCATTCATAGAAAAAAACTCCCATCCACGTGTATTTTGAAAAAGTTATGAATTTTTTTCGAAATTCCGAAAAAGGGGGCCTGTGGGGTTAATTCTTGCCCGACAAAATATTGTGAGAAATACATATTATTGAGTACCATCAGAGGAACACATTCATAGAAAAAAACTCCCATCCACGTGTATTTTGAAAAAGTTATGAATTTTTTTCGAATTTCCGAAAAAGGGGGCCTATGGGGTTAATTCTTGCCCGACAAAATATTGTGAGATAAACATATTATTGAGTGCCATCAGAGGAACACATTCATAATAAAAAACTCTCATCCACGTGTATTTTGAAAAAATTATGAATTTTTTTCGAATTCCCGAAAAAGGGGGCCTATGGGGTTAATTCTTGCCCGACAAAATATTGTGAGATATACATATTATTGAGTACTATCAGAGAAACACATTCATAGAAAAAAACTCCCATCCACGTGTATTTTGAAAAAGTTATGAATTTTTTTAGAAATTCCGAAAAAGGGGGCCTGTGGGGTTAATTCTTGCCCGACAAAATATTGTGAGATATACAGATTATCATAGACCCTCAGAGAAAATCATTGATGTAAAATAGTTTCATCCATGGACATATTTTGGAGGTTTAAGTAATTTCATGGCCAGCCATGAATATAAATTGATAATGAACGACCATTGGTGGTATGGCGCGCGCCTTGTATATTAGGCGAAGTCGTGGCTGGAACTCGTGGCTGGTTTCACACTGATTTTTATCAGTATGAAATGGACAAACTTCTGACTCTTTTCTTTGATGATGGGAGAATTTCAAAACATGTCTCCCTGTGTTTTACACTTTACTATACTTAATCAGCTAATGATTTTTCTAATTTTCTTTTATCAACTTTGAAAAAAATTGTTTTGTTCAACTAATACATCTCCATTTCTATTATTCAGACATTCAAATGGATTCAATGTTTCTCTTTGTTGGACAATTTGTTTCAAGAGGTAATTCAGAATTCTGTCTTCACCTAGGTCTTCACTATTCACCTGTTTCTTCTTTTTCTAATAATCAGGATTTGTGTTCTTCAGATTCAAAATATTATAACTTGGTCCTTCATTATTTTCAAGAAGTCACTTAACACTCCAAATTCCAACTATATCCTCATTATTGAAAGCATGCTGCTGCATATAGCATAATTCAACATCTGATTGTTCAAAGATTAGTCTCAATTTTTCTTCAGACATCATCTGCTGATCCTTCAAATAGCAAGAGAATTCCTTCCTCTGTACATCAAGGATGGGCAAGTAGTTGTTTCTCATTCTTATGTTGAAATTAATAGCTACTTTCACATTGTAGGTACAATCACTTCATTCGTTTTTTGATACTCCAACTGAGTCAAGCTTGTTTCTGCTAGCAATTCTTCAACCATCTCTACATCAATATGAAGATCTTCATCAACTGATTTTACTTGTTGCTGATGGTTCTTTCTATGTGTGGTTCTTCAATATGATCAGTGTATCTGAATAATGTTGTATCTCTAAAACTTCTTCATATATTCCATTCTGAACTGATTCTATCTGGGCATGATTGAAAAAAAAATAAAGAAAATGAAGCAGAAACATACAGGTATAACATCCTTTTTTGACTAGAAAGCAATAAATGAAATGAGTTAGGACTATCAAATATTAATAACGTGTATGGGGAGAACAGGAGATATAATATATTGGGGTCAGTTTTAGGCAGAAGCTCTCTATCCTGCTTACTAGATTTCTAGCTCGATTTCTAGTGAAAACAAAATTAATGAATACTCACATCACTTTCTGTAGATTACTAAAAAATATCCCATCTTTCAGATCAGTCACTTTATGAATAGGTTTAGACAGCTTCAGACAGTTTACCTGAAAAAATATAATGTTACTTTCATCAAATATGTACATAAGATGCCTATATGAGAAAAAGTAGTTTACTTACCCAATCCACCAAAATGCGTTCCCACATAGGGTTCTCCATCGTTATCGTTATTATTATCAAACTGAGAAGCACGACCGAATTTCAAATAACCAAAGTCAAGAATATTCTCTGACTAGCAGCTGAACAATAATTGTTGTTCTTCAATTCTATTCAAAAAAATAACTTTTCCGTTATAATCGTTATTACACTACTGACATTTGAAATTTGAATTTTGAAGTTCGTTGATTTGATGGTCCGCCGCAGGCCGCAGGCAGCAGCGCAGGTGTCAACTGTCAACGCAGAGGGGTGCGTTTAGGAATCTCTGACCGGAACTGATGGTAGGCTGCAAGGGTAGGCTGTACACTCTACAACAGTTTGATGGATTTCCATCAACATCCCAGCGTAATTTTGCAACAGTATGATGGTTTCCTCGATTCATGCGCATGACAAAATGTTGGAATGGAAAACGCACCCCAGTGTTCCATCATCCTTCGGAAGGAGTTCATCGCCAAAATATCACTACACCTGCACAACACCAATGACGGCTAGATATCTAGACCAAAGAGGAGAACCTATTCCTTAAACTATGTTTAAACTGTGGTTATACCCCTTGGGTTATACCGTCAGACAGTCTAGATATCTAGCCGTCATTAACTACACGGTCGTTTGTTTTTGCTCTTATTTCAGCAAATTCCATTGGCAGGAACCTGGTAGAGTCTTTCTGCACTCAATATTTGTTTCCTGCTTACTCGCATGTGTTAAACAGAATCAATTGTGTCGATGACTTGTTTGAGTTTATGTCACACCAGACCAGGTAGGTGTAACACTGGTGGGAAATGTACTCGAGTGTAGAGAAGTACTACACTCCTCCGAATAACCCCTATTAGCTCGGGTATGTTTTCGTTTCCAGATATGCCTGAATAATTCGGTTTGTATACGAAACGCACGCAAATGTGTTGTCACCTGTCACAAAAATTTTCCACGCTTGAGAAGTAAATTTTTCATTAATTCTTGTGAGGATGGAAGATTGTTTATCAGAGTATCAGTATTCACTCATTTTATACCTAAATGCATATTTTTCTCCATTCCACGATTTCAAACGTTGGATACAACTACGAGATACCGAGATACCGAGATACCGATGATTTTCGCTGATTCCTCTGGCGGCATATGAGTAACCATTCTCTCAGGAATCGTGTTCCGTAATTAACCGTGATAGTATAATACGGTGTACGGCTAAGATATCAACTTAAAAACATCTCAGGTACAGCCAATGACGGCTAAATATATAGACTATCTGACGGGTTACGGTCTAGGGTCTCTTAATGGAAATTGACGTTAAAGTCTCTTGATGGAAGTTGACGTTAAACCACAATCAACTTTGGAAACGGAACAAACCCCCCAGTCACGAACACTGACGTTTGACATTTGATCATTTGACAGTCAGTATACTCATGGACATGACTCAGACATGACAACTGACTGTTGAGACAGATTTTTCACAATAATTTCAATTTCAAATAATTTCTTCAAAGTCAAAAAATAAGATTCAAAAATAAAAAGACAATAATATATTAATATACCTGCATCCTGCACGATAAAATTGCAGTAATAATAATTTCAATGAATCATCATTATTCTTCCCTAAAACATCATATCAAAATATATTCACAGTAGTTAATTTTATTTCAGGAACCAAAAACCAAATACTTTATACTTTTGCTTCTCTTGAGAGATCCTATTCATAACTTGGTTCAATAATCTGTTTATTTTCGTGATCGTATTTTTGAGATATGTCTGGTGATATAGCACATTTTCTTGAGAAGGAAAAACTCATGATTCTAGAAAATAAGAAAAGGCTAGGATTGTGTATGAATGCTGAATATGCTAAAAACCAAGTCATTCCGGTAAAGGTATGTAACCAAAATTCACAGTTTCTGTCATGAATTTTCGAAACTATGTCAATTGCTTTCATTCTTGAAGTAGGTACTCACCTACTTATGTGTTAATTCAGCAGTTTTATGTACATAAAAGAGGAACGGCAGTATCTCTATTGTAATTGGGCTCGGCAAAAAAGGCCCAGGAGGCCCCTCATATTGTTTGAAGTGAACACTGAACAGTGAGCATCTACACCCACCCTCACTTTTCATTGTATGAGCTTTTAATTTTCAAATATTGAAATAAGCTTTTGGGATTTTTTTAAGTTCAATTAACTTGATTTTCATAAAAAAATAACTAATGTGATATATTTATGAATGCTCAGAGAATTTAATGAAATTAGGTATCTGAATATATATGATTTCAACTTTATATGGTATCAACTTTGACAATATAATACTTTCCTAACATAATATGATCAAGATGACTCTTTAACCTGCACTGACCTAGAGATTTATGTGATATCCCATTACTTTATTTGGAATTGGAAATAATATGTGTTGTGTGTGAGTATCATATATCATATATCATATATCATATATCATATATCATATATGGGTATCATATATTGATTGATTTGTAAATCCAAGCAAAGAACCTTGCAAAGAAAACATAGACCTGGACATAGACAAGAACACACATTTCTTAGGAATTTACCTCGGAATTTTCATTTAATGTAATATGCAAATTTGACATGTTCAAAATAACCCACATTCAGAATCAGAAATGCTTTTATTGTCATAAAAACATTGATAACATAATTTTGTATTGTAAATTGTGTAATTTAATAAGACTGTTATTGGTAATGATTATTTTTTTTACATGTCAAAATGTGACGTTTTCCTTGTTTCAACCAATATCAATGCGTGATTCTAGCCAATCATTCGGAATCATACTGATAATTTGTTAGTATCAAATTACCGCGATGACTTATTCACGTTTGGATCTTCCTTCAAATGGATACAAAAAGGGACCCATAGACTGCGATGTTGATAGGCTGTTTTGTTCGACTAACAAGTCTGTTCGAACAAAAATTGCGCACAACCGAAGTGTGTGGCTGTAAAATGTTCGTTTTCGCTGGCCACACACTTTAGTTTTGTGTCTTTTTTGTTCGAACAGACTTGTTCGACGAACAAAACGGCCTACCAACAACGCAGTCTATGGGGCACCTTTAGAGAATTAGCATTGACTTGACTTGGTTGTCAAGGTAACGCAGCTATTTGTCTCAATGTAAACATTTCGAATTCAGAACCGACGCCATTGTTAAGTATCAGTCAGACTTCGTATTTTGTGATTTTCTCTAACGTTTAAACGAGTTGGTATAGGTTCGGAAAAACTTTACAATTATTATTAGTCATTAACAGAAACCGACATGAGCACGAGATTTGGTCAAAGCTCGGCTGATTCAATACATTTAGCTGTCGAACAAGCAACACCAATCAACACCACAAAAAGCAAGAATACGATATGGAAACAGTTTTTGGAGTTCTGCCTTGAACGTAATTATGAGTTGACTGCAACAACCGAGATGAAACAAATCGCATCAATTATGGAGGACTGGGCATATAACATGCGAAAAAAAAATGGAGAAAACTACAAAGAATCTGTTGTCAAAACTTTGTGGAATGTCACCGCAAAACTTATCCAGGAAAAATATTTCAGGGAGTATAATAGAAACATTGATCCGTTCACTGATATTGAATTTAAGACCGCGCGAGATGCGCGGAATTGCAAACGTCGAGAACTTCAACATATTCCTGAAAAAAGAAAAGCATCTTCTGTTGCTCTCAAGAAAGAAGAAATAGAAAAAATGATAGCAGCATGGGACGAAAATACTCCAAATGGCTTACAAAGGAAGTTTTATCATACTGCTAGCTACGAATTGGCTTGGAGAGGCGGAGAAGCGACAAAAGCATTAGTACAGTATTTTAGAGAAGAAATGGATCATTATGGAAATCAAACTGGAAGGATAGAATATAATCCAATAATTTCTAAAACAGCACAAGGAGGATCGCACAGGTTATCTGATAGCAAATTTTTAACGCCAAATGAAAATGAGACTGAAAAATGTCCAGTACGTCTCTTTCGGAAGTTAATGTCGAAAAGAAGTGCAAATATTCAAATTGATCGTTTATTTTTAACACCTAATCCAAATTGGCAGCAACCTTTGTCTAAGGGGTGGTACAAAAATCTTCCGGTAGGACAAAATGAAATAGCAAAATGGACAAAACAAGCGGCCCGAAAGATTGGCTTGGATCCTAGCAAAATCAAGGTTACAAACCATTCACATCGTTCTTCTGCTGTGACACAACTCGCTAAAAGTGGAGTAAGTGAGCAGCAGTTGTTGAAGATAACTGGACATTCATCTGCAAGCTCCATCAAACCCTATCTTCAACTTGACAAAGAGCATCACGCAAGCATGATAAACAACTTGAGAGGAAACACTGTTTCGACCTCTTCATCTCAAGGAAATTGTACAATAACATACAATAATTGCACCATTACAAACGTAAATTGTAAACATTCTTGATTGTTTGATATATAATTATTTGATATATAATTGTTTGATATATAATTGTTTGATATATAATTGTTTGATATATAATTGTATGATAAATGATTGTTCAATAAATAATTGTTTAATAAACATATTCTGGGGCATTTTGCGAAATAGTAAAAAAAATAATCACGCCGAATTACATTCGTGTTGGTTATTTTTTTAAATAATTTTAACTAGATTTAGCACTCGTCTTTGTTGCTATTGAGAAATCCCACTCGTGGACTTCGTCCACTCGTGAAATTTCTATAGCAACAAAGATTCGTGCATCTAGTTAAAATTATCAAAAAATTACCACCACTTGTGTAATTACTGTTGATAATTTTTTTCCCTTATTCTAATACCAAGCTCTGCCGCCAGGTGGCTTATGCTCACTATTTTGAATTAAATACAAATACACTTTAATGCACAAGGATACAGATTCTTGTAGATGAAGTTATTAAAATACACATTAAAATACATATAGAAAAACATAGTATGGGACGTCAATAGAAGTATGAGACAATGCACCTGTTGGTTTACCCCATGTATATATTTATGGGTGATTCGCACAGTTAAACATATAACAATATAAGATAAATAGAATATTGACTCCCAGAGAGTGGTAGGGTATATTTGTCAAAATATTTCGGGACCTTTATCGGTAATTATTTTCTGGTAATTCAAATAATGTCACATATCAACAGGTACAAACATTGAGATAGGAACAAAAAAAACGAAATAACGAAAAAATAACAGGTAACGAAAAATAAAATTAAAATAATATAAAACTTGAAAAGGTAAATTGCACAAATATTTAGGTAGTATATATATATTATCAAATCACATTTTACATCTCATCGCATTGAAGGACAGGCAGTAAAACTATTCATATTTACATAGGGTTTATTTATTATTCAATTTCAAATTGAATTTATTCGATAAATCCTATATATACTCATGTATATTTTTCCATTATAAGAAATGTTTACCCGATTGGGGGATCCAGACCCCATGGACTCTTCCCTCAATTACGCCAATGAATTTTTCACATTCATATTGCTGATTGCTATTTCCAGTACTTACCTATCAATTTATTCACAATCAACTTTTCTTATGTCTCATCTCTGTTCTTCGTACACATGTGTACCTAGTGAATAAATATTTTTATTATGATACCTATAATAATTCTTATTATTTTTATTCAGGATGTCCTGAAAATAGTGTAAAAAACTCTAACAGCGACTTCTAGGTTCGTAAATAAGAAATAAACTATACACCACTGGCCGGCAAATGGGTCCCTAAGGGATAGCTCAACCCTCTTGGAGAGGTGCCCGCCTGGACTTGGTTTTTTGTAATATTATTTCCGAAATGGTTTGTGACAAAATGATGGACATTTTTATGCTCACTCATCTTTTGTGCTGAATTTAGAAATGTAAAAACAATTCAAATTATCATTCAGTAGTAGGACAGCCCAGGGTATTTTCTGAATCAGATATTTTGTGTGAGATATATTTTTAAATCTGGTAGATACAAATTTTGGGATTTTGTAAAGAAGGTGTTGACTAAGTTCGATAACCTGAAACGTTTTCGAATATAGAGAAGAATTTAGAAATTAATTAGTAGGTAATATTTTTTCGGGGGTAACGTTATGTTGAGAAAACTCGAAAATTATCTGATGCGGTAGTGACTGTGACAGTTGTCAAAGCATATCGGTTATTGGGAAAGCTAGGTAGCTTTTTCATCACTATAAACGCCTGGTGATTGGTCGGTTTTAGGAAATTGAAGAAATCTAATTGGATCTTGGAATAGGCGTGTATTAATCAATTTAATGAATTTAACCAGGAGTTGTTAAGAAGAAACAAAACAATATTTTATCAGAGGATTCTACGGAAATAGTGTTTTTAAATAGTTTCATTTTAATAGTTGTTCAAACAAATTCTCATTTTCTTGTATACATAATAAATATTATAGTCTCCCTCGACATCTTAACTAAATTCATTTTGACACTTTGTGGACAGCTCGAACATCCACATTAGCTTGAATTGAGATGAATTAAATCATAGCGACATCTAAGATACTTTTGTTATTCATGGCCAACTATTAATCAAAAAAATGTTTCATCCCAACCCGTTCGGGTAAAATCATAAAATACTTTTCACAGGGCCTCTTTAGGATAGGGTACATAAAAATGTTCGTTTCTGATTTTGACCCTAGAAGCCGCTGGTAGAGTATTTTACAACATTTTCGGGGCACCCTGTATATTACAATTTAGTTGAGTCGAACACAGGGATTACATTGTAAACTTTTTTTCTCAGCGTGAGAGTACATTATTTTCAATGCTCAACAAGCACTAATGAAATAAGAGATTGAAGTAATTTAATGATACCTAATCCATATTCTAAAAATAAGATATCATCTCACGAGAATCTCAACTAGCTTAGTTCATCATCGATTTGGCGAAGGCGAGTAACTTTGAATAATTTCGCCTATCATTATCGAAGACACCCATGATAAAAAAAGAGGAGTGGCGGCTCAATGCCGCCTCTGACCTTGTTTAATATTGATTTTGCCTGAAAGTCAAATATGAAGGGCTGAAAAGGAGTTGTGTGTTCTGTTTTCAGTGTTATTTCTCCCTCAATACTCCTAATGAAAGTTGAAACCTTACCCGCGTTAAGTTTTTCTGTATTTGAATTTTTTGCTGATACTTTAGTAGAGGATGTTGATAGTCTTTCGTCGAAAATGAAGATGTGAGTATTCGTCATATTTTTGACAAACCTGCCATGGGTGAATAAAAATATTTTACGATGGTCGGAAATCTACAATAAATATCTCATGATTTCAAAAATCACTATTTTAAAATTCATAGTGCATATGATTTTGCGAAATTTCATCAGTAGGTCAAAGAATAGATTATTATCATCATCATCATCATCATTAGAGCTGCTTGATGTGTTGATTTATTTTCGTAAATATACTTGCCATGCTAATGATTATGAATTAATATAGTGAATTATAACATTTTAGGAAACTTGTGATAGAGAAGCTACTCAGAACAATAATTGTGAACAATCATTCGAAGAAAATAAAGAAAATATCGATCTAAATTCCAGTAGTGTCTTATCACCAAAAACAAACCAAGTAAGTTCACAACTGAAAATATGAGATTGATGTTTTGATCATCCATGATGATTGTAGATTTGAGATTTCTTTATTTGTAGGTTTTTAATACTCAGATTGGGGTATAATAATTGCCGAAATTTCTAGCTTTTCCATTTAGATCGCCAACGATAGATAAGTCACATAATAATAATCAAAGAATAATCATGCTTCATGAAATTTATTTTTTCCAATTTCGGATGTATGTGAATAGGGATCACAACTTTTGAATTAATCATATGTATCAAAAACCTACAAGTTCAGATCAAGTAGATAGCTTATTTTATTTTGTCATAGTAGAACGTGAGTAGGACCAAGTAGAGGACTCGATTTTTTTCTATCCATATGTCTTACGTGATTCTTTGGGTTTTGATGGCAGATAATTTGGAAAGCTCATAGGAGATGGCACTGGTGAAGTTGGAAGTTAACAGTCAGTCTTCGTTTATTTTCGTATTCGTATTCGCGATAGACAAAAAGATAAGAAATAAGCGTGCACCACCTATAGGAGTTTTTGAAAGCTGTTAAACGGTTTCATTGGTTCACATTCGTTATTTTTTTGTTTGGGCTATTGGTCACATCGGTTAAAGACACAGTGGAGGCGGTTTTATGCTTTCCGACAGCCATTGCCGACATGCGCTTATAAGCGTCAATAATTATCATTTAAGGCTTTTAAGTTAACAATAACAAAGTTGAAATAACTACTGAATAATACTCGAAGTCATCTCCATGACATTTTAATATGATGAAACGATGAAATCAATTGGTACATGTTTCGGACATATATATGTTCATCCTCAGCCTAATCAAAAATTGCTACATTCCCAGATAGCACAATGTCATTCATAGAACGTTCATGAAATATTCTTCGAGAATATTTGATTATTCTCAGAATATTCTCACATATTCTATCGATGTGTAGTATATTGAAGGAGAATGAAGAAAATTGAAAAAGCTTGCTCTGGTGGATGCCAACCTACTATCTCCACGAACCTTATTGATAAATAAAATGAATAGCAAGATGACAACACTGAATTAGTGGTATAATCAGCATTGAGGCTATAGAGAATAATAGGTATGTTTGTAATTAGAGATGTTTTCATTTCTGGCATCTTTTGGGTTATTTCTTCGATTAGTTCTTGCGATCTACTGCCTTTTTTGATTGTCAATAGTATGTCTCCGCCTTTCGTTTTCCTCAGTGTTTCAATTTCTACATCGGTCTTGCTTATGTCCACATTTTCCTTTACTTGTTTCAGTAATTCTGCATAGGTTTTCCCTTGGGACGCTATTATTATTGCCTCCTTCTTCATTGATGGTTTCTTTTTTGTGCTTCTGGTGCTTACTTGTCTGTCTATAGTGTTTGGCTTTGCTTTGTTCTTGTTTGGCATATAAATGTCTATTTCTATGTTTGTATTCTGTAGGGTATATTCAAGTAATTTCCTTACTTAGTGGTCAATACTTTCGGTTATCATCATTGTTGCTTTTGTTCTTTCGTTGTTTGTCATGTCATTTTCTAGGCTTTGGATTGCTTTCATGAGGTCTAGTGAGATTTCAATGTTTATCTTGAATATGAATCTTTCCATTGTTTGTCCGGTTTCTGGTAGCCTGACACTGTTTATGGCTAATTTGTACGTTCTTGTGGCTTCCCCTTCTTCGTCGTTTAGCTCAGGGTATCTGTCTTGGAAAGCCTTGTTTATACTTTTTTCCTCATCGTTTTCCTTGTTGGTGCAGAGTATTAGGTCAGTTTTCCTCTCCCTCAGTGGGCTTTCTGTTGTGATGTTCGTGTTTTTATATGTTTGGGCCGGCCAGTCTTGCCAGATTACGGTTTGTACTTCCTCTATTGTGTTAGCTTCTTTCAGGTTTCTCCTTATGTCTTCGGAAGCCTTGGTCTCTCTCCTGATTTCCTCTATTTCTTCCAGATCAGTGTCCACCTGTATTCCCATGTCTTTCTTTCCTTTTATGTCTGCAATAGGCGCTTTTGTTGTCTGTTCTTGGCTTTCATTCCTTTCCTCCTCCAGTTCCCATAGTTTTCTGCTCCTCTCCTTCATTGTTTGTACTGTTGTACATATTTCCTTTGATATTTTTTTTTATTTCTATTTTTGTGTTCACATTACCCTTTATGAGTTTCATCAGATTTTCAGTTTTCTCCGATAGGTTTTCTATGATTTTTTGCAGTTTGTAGATAGCTTCATCTTTCTCTTTTTGTATAGGCGTCTCGGTGTCTTTTTCTGGTGTTCCTTTACGTCTCCTTTTTCTCACCTGGAATATGTCCCCTCCTACAGGTTTCTTCTCCTCTTCTGTAGGTATCGCCTCTAACCCGGTAGGGTTTTCCTTATCTGTGGTGTCTTTTCCGTCTTCTGGGAGATTTTGCCCAGTAGCTATTTCAATAGTATGGCTTTTTTCCACCTCCTGATCTTGGAGGCCACAGTTGTCAGATATATTATATCCGCTCGGTTGTGCAGTCGATGTGCTGTGAGTTTCTAGTGTGCTTTCTGTTTTTTGTCTTTTATCGGTGTTCTTGATATGCTAGGTCTTCTTATCGTTGGGTCCGTCACTTCCTCCCACTTGTAGCATTTTGTGTCATTTGTTTTTTGGTTTGATTTTTCATTATCCATAGCTTTCCCACGAGTTGGGTCGAAAGGTTGTCCAGCGAGGCAGTGCGCCCTTACCCCGCTAAGGCTACGTTCCCCTGGAGATCGCCATTTGTCCAGGGCATCGCTCGAGACACATCCATAACCCCTGTGCCATGCAGCTCCTCGGCGCGATGGTGTTACACCTTGAGCTTGGGGCTCCCATTCTCGTTTGCCCCGACCCTTACCTCCACTGGGGTTGGCTACCCAATCTCGGAAAGGGTTTCTTGGGTTTCCAGGGTCCACCGCTAGGAGGTGAGAATTGGAATTGGGTAGGAGAGGCTGAGTGACAATGCCAGGCGGCAGTGTCATATTTTCGCATCACTGCCCCTTCTAACCTACCTAACCTACCTAACCTACCTAACCTACCTAACCTACCTAACCTACCTAACCTACCTAACCTACCTAACCTACCTAACCTACCTAACCTACCTAACCTACCTAACCTACCTAACCTACCTAACCTACCTAACCTACCTAACCTACCTAACCTACCTAACCTACCTAACCTACCTAACCTACCTAACCTACCTAACCTACCTAACCTACCTAACCTACCTAACCTACCTAACCTACCTAACCTACCTAACCTACCTAACCTACCTAACCTACCTAACCTACCTAACCTACCTAACCTACCTAACCTACCTAACCTACCTAACCTACCTAACCTACCTAACCTACCTAACCTACCTAACCTACCTAACCTACCTAACCTACCTAACCTACCTAACCTACCTAACCTACCTAACCTACCTAACCTACCTAACCTACCTAACCTACCTAACCTACCTAACCTACCTAACCTACCTAACCTACCTAACCTACCTAACCTACCTAACCTACCTAACCTACCTAACCTACCTAACCTACCTAACCTACCTAACCTACCTAACCTACATAACCTACCTAACCTACCTAACCTACCGAACCTACCTAACCTACCTAACCTACCTAACCTACCTAACCTACCTAACCTACCTAACCTACCTAACCTACCTAACCTACCTTTTTTTTTTTTTTTTTTTTTTTTGTCGGGTGGAAATGCTTTATGCACTGACTGAAGTACTTGTTCTTCCTTTTCTTCAGTACTGTGTGAGGTTCACCTCTTTGGCATACTCACTAAAACCACCCCTGTTCTTCCCACACCAACTTGGAACCGCTTGTCGCATAACGTCAAGTTGGTTGATGTCTTGGTTATTTCTCAATTTCTCTGTTGTCTTGCCGCTGCCTGTTGAAGTGTTCTCTCTTCTAGTCCTTTATTCTCCATCAAACTCCTTATAAAAGAAGTGATCATGTTCCAGTTTGTTTCATTCTCAATCATCATTTGCACCATATTCTCAGTCGTTAATGTTTCTCCCAGTTCTTGATTCAGTTGTGTCCTTTCGACTTGCCACTTTTCACAGTCGAAGAGAGAGTGTTCTACTGTGTCTGCATGATCGCAATACATACAGCTATCACTTTCGGTCTTTCCAATTCGCTTCGTGTAGACTCCGAACGAGCCATGCCCCGTTAGAACTTGTGTGAGGTAATAGTCTGTTCTTCTGTGTGTACATTTCACCCACTCTGCTAGGTTTGGTATCAACCGTTTCGTCCATTGTGCCACCTCCACTGTATCGTTCCACGTTTCTTGCCACTTCTCGATTGTGCGCGTCCTTTCAAGAGATTTACTTTGCGTCGTGTTCTCTTCTTCTATGTGGTACAATCTATATCTCTCTTCCACTAGTAAATCTATTGGTATTATTCCTGCGATTACTTGGACTGCCTTCGCTGATACTGTGCGATATGCGCTCGTCACTCTTATGAGCATTTTCCGCTGCACCTTTATCATCATTTGCCTATACTTTTTCATTCTGATATAGTCATGCCATATAGGTGCTCCATACAATAGAATTGACTGTACAACATAGTATAGCATCTCTCTTTTCTTTGACCCGGGTCCTCTGATATTGGGAGTTATTCTGGTCAAAGCGACTACCTTCTTTTCGGCCTTCTCGACCATTGTCTTTATATGCTGTCCAAAACTACAGTTCTCTCCTAGCGTGATGCCAAGGTACACAATGCTTTTCTTTGGTCGAATCTCAGCTTCTCCACATTTGAAGATCACACCTTCTTTATCCCGTTGCCCTTTGAGTATGAGTGCTTCTGACTTATGAGGCGCTAGTTCTAGTTCATTTGTCCGCATCCAGCTGTTTATCTGTTGTAGAGCTTCATCCCCCTTCCATTTCAAGTCTTCTTTATTTTTAGCTGTGATAACCATAGCTAAGTCATCTGCATATGCAAGTGTGTATACTCCCTTGGGCATTATCTCCTCTAGAACGTCATCATAGAGTACGTTCCACAAGGTGGGACCTA